GTGGCCAGCTCAGCCCACCAGGGGGCGGGGCTGGCTAGCATGTGGTGCTGGGGGATTGAACCGCGGTCCCTGATACTTTGCTAAGCTTGTTCTACGTAGGTGCTTTAGACCACTGAGCCATCTCTCCAGCCCCCAAGGGATTTTATTCTTGAAAATTATTTTCATAACACTTTAAGTCAACTTGCATTCTGAGTCAGATATAAAAATCCATGAAAACCATTAATTTTATCTGTTTTCTCCTAAAATGTATAGGTTATTTGCATTTTCACTTATTCTCCCAAAACCAATAATTTGGTGCTTGATGCTATATAACAATGTCTCCAATGAGCTGCACAGATTCAGGCTTTAGAAATTTTTCTGATAGATTCTAGTATCTTTTTTAGTCATATTATCTCACTTAAAAGTTGTATGGGACAGGGGAGATAGCTCAGTGGTCTAAGCGCCTTCCTGGCAAGTGCAAGGACTGGGGTTCGATTCCCCTGTACCATGTGCTATGCTGGCCTGGAACCCTGCAGGCCACAGAGATGGGGTGTTGTGGTGTGTGCCTGCAACCCCAGGGCTGGGGGGATGAGACAGCAAGACCACTACAAGTCCAGCTGTGTAGTGAGCTTCTGTACCAAAGAAAGAAAGAAAAGATTTTAAAAAATAAAGTTCTATGAACTAGCAATTTCTTTTCATTTTCGTCATATTTTAAAATAATTTTTATGCATTTTAATGAGAAAAATGATAAAATAGCAATGAAACAGTTTCAAAACAGGTTAGTAGGATGTTTACAATAATTAATACATTGCATATTGTTGTCTTGTAATAGTTACTCAGCGGACACGATATCTTGTCTAAACAATATGAGTACAAACTTTTATTCTCAGTGAACTAAGAGAGTGAGCTATGTATCTATCCTGTCTCTTGTGAATACATATATATCTATTTTTTTCTTCCCCCTTTTTATGAATTAGCAATTTCTGTACTTCTTTTTTCTTCCAGTTTTGTTACATGAACTTTAGTGGTTAACAAACAGCCATCTTGTTGATACCGTGATGTTTCTGCTACACTGGAATTGAAGTTAATTTCTGAAAAGCACATGATATCTGGGATAACACCTTCTCAGCAACACTTTTATCAGCACATGTTTGTAACACGTGATTGCATTGGTGCGTGTACATCACACATCCATGTTTTTAAAGTCCCCTTCGCACCCCTCACTCTCCCATCCCTTGTTTCTTTGCCCCCCTCCCATAGGCAAAAGATCAATCTCATCATTTCCTACTGTCTGCCTTATTTTGCTCCTTATTTATAATTTGGGGTCTAATATAAAGATTTGGCCCCTTTGTCAAGATCAGGTGGCTGACTGGAATTGTTTTTGCAGCCTCTGTTTTATTGCTTTGCTCCAGATGTCTGATTTATTTTTCTTGCTAATACCATGCTGTTTGTATCACTGTTACTTTGTAGTATTTTATAGCTTGAAGTCAGATATTGAAATGCGTCCTGCTTTATTCTTATTGCTCGGGATTGCTTTTGCTACTCCCTAGCTCCCCAAATAAAACCTAATTTTAAATTGAGCATCCTTTTTTTTTTTTT